AGGGTATCGGAGCTTGCAAATGTGATAGTCAGAGCAGTTTCAAAGGCGTCCGTGTCTTGCATGGAAACTCATAGGATGAGGCCTTTTAATTGGGCGCCGTACGTTGGGCTCAAGCCAGCTGTTTTAAAGAGCTGTACAGTACCCACATTCCTTGAATTCTTTGTCTTCTATACTCACACCCGTGCCAATATGGAAATGCCTCACTCTGCATCGCACTGGACCAAGCAAAGCACATGGAGAACGGGGCTTGTGTGTGACTGGAAAGTTACAGCCCGATGGCACGCACCTTCTGGTGCTCTACCAACAAGCGCATCTGCGAAGTGCTCAACCTTGACTACACTTCATAGGAGGGACATGGGTGGTTGTCAACGTTATTTCCTTCGTTCGTATGGAGAAGCGCGCCATACTACTTTTCACAGCTGGCCAGATGGAGAGTTGCAGTGGTCTCTGACAGCAGTGCCCGACACCTTTTCACCCTGGCCCCATTGTTAAACATTCTCAAAACTGACTTCGCTACAAAACGTGTTTCTAACTTTACCGTGGGGAAAATGTTTGAAGAAGGGACCTTGAACTGGGCCATAGGAGTTATACAGAAGTTTTATGAGACATATGGGTGTAAGTCCTGTAGCTTTCCTGGGCTGATATGGAAGGATATACAAGGGTTTCCTGCGACACTGAGGGATTTGTATATATATATACACTTAGAGTACATAGAGTAAGACAAGGGTTATCTAGCGATATCGAGGGATGAATAGGGATCCTTTTCCAGCCAAGCAGCACCTCTAAAGTGACCGGCCTCGCTCAGGGAGGGTTTCAATTTGATCCATTCCCAAAAAACTTCTAAACCCCAACCCCCCCCTGGATACTATTAGAGTTATATTGGGGTTCTATTTGGCTTATATTGGGGTAACATTAAGCTTATATACCCGCCACCCAAAAGCCTTAGGCTCTGAAGGGTACGTTCATCCCTCTGACGTGCAGCAGAATAAGCTTGCAAAATGAGGGCATGCTTGCGATGATGAATTCCAAGGGGCACAATCTTTGATGTGTGAGACTAGTACGAAAGTGTTCGAAAGCTGATTTCATCTGATTGTTATTTTGGGGGCACGTATATTGGGATACTATTAGGGCTGTATTGGGGTTCTATTTGGGTTATATTGGGGTAAGGCTTATATTTGGGTTAAATTAGGGTTATATTATGCCGGGACTGAGCTCGGGCCTGCGAGGCTAGGTAGATAATCGGCTGCACGTTCGGTACATCAACATGGCACTTATCGTGAAAAGACTTGCCAGTCTTAGGCTTCTGCTTATGTGGCCTGAATGTACCTCAGGGCTCCCTTCCGAGACTTCACGAGAACCCAAACCCTAAACCCTAAACCCTGCAACATTCTCAACTGGTGTCTAGTGTTAGGCTGGCTTCCTGGGCATGTGTTAGATGCAGTACAAAACTCACCAATCCCAGCCTCATAGGCATCTGTACCAGATGCCATTGGGAGATCGTTTGCGCCAACCAGTGAGGGCCAGATGCAGTTAGCATGTGTAGTTCACCCGGCCAAAGTAAAAGCTTGCTACCTAGTGCATCTTGCTTGGGTTTCCGTAGACATCTGCTGGCCCATGTACGAGATCTTAACACAATGGTACATTTAGCTGAAGGGGCTAAGCTGGCAAATGGCTTCGGCATGGTTCTGTAAAGTGAGTGATACTTACCAAATGTGTCGCAGTGATGCAGCGCGGCTGCCTTCTCATGTACACATGCGCAAGAATCAAGGTTTGCCTTTGAATGATTGTGCACCTTCCTAAGGACGAAAGTTCCCAGACCCCCTAAAGGATCNNAATAATCCCCTAGTTTCCCCAATGCGGTAATGGGTTCATATGGGGGGGGGTCCATTTTTGGATCCTTTAGGGGGTCTGGGTTGCTGTACTCCATGTGTCATCCTTACGGCTTTGAGCCTAAAAGCGGCTTCAGCGTTGCTAAGCCATGCACAGCTGGTGAATTACACAAATCTCACAACTGGACCCCTTATGCAACCCTGAGTGGCTTCTACGGGGTCTGGCTCTCAGACTAGTTGGGGGTCTGGGCGCTCCAAGTACCGTTGCACGAGCGAACTTGCCGTTCCCAAATTTGGGGAAAACTAAGATCAAACTGCATCGGAGCTATACTGGAAACCTAAAATGCACCGGCGTGGGCTGTTCAAATCAAAAGAGATCGCCCTAAGTAGCAACTTTGCATACTTATAGTATAATCTACCCCAGAACCGAGCACACTTGCCTTTTCCACCTGCACCTCCACTGTACACTGCGCTAGAGAAGTGAGACCTGGGCAGTCTGTACACAGCATCCCACGACCAGGACTTGACTAAGTTAGAACAACGTCGTGAAAAGTAGTGTTTAGGGTCATGGATACTAGGGCTTAGGTCCTCGTTATAGGGTTTATGCTTACGAGTTCGGTGTAATGTTTAGGGCTGAGGATTTGAGTGCATGACGCCGTGGCGGCGTGTATTTTGCAAGTGTTTTGCCTGGCTCTGGAAGATTTAGTACATATTATGTAGTGTTAAGGGTGGAAAGGAAAGAACATGGAAAATACTACCGTAACCTAGGCTTAAGGGGTTTGAGGATGGAGGGGCCCGAATAAGATTCAAAGAGAAGCAACTGCAAAATATTATGGAAATGCCATGGAAAGCGGTTAAGCATAGGGATTGTATGTAGAGGTCCAAACGGTTAGAATAGGGCTGGATATATGTTGCGATATAATTGTGTTAGGATTGAAAAGGACGATATAGATACTTCTAGCATAAAAACTTAAACATGTCGATTCCAACCTTGCTACGAGAACCTTAACTTTGCTAACAAGGGCCTAGTCAACTTCTGTTACACAGGCAAGTATCTTCTAACTCTAAACCCTTAAACCCTAAACCCTAAGCCCTAAAACCTAAAACCCTAAACCCTAAAAACCTTAAGCCCTAAATCCTTAAAACCCTAAACCCTAAGCCCTTAAACTATCACAAAAGCAACTTAAAGCTAGGAGGCGAAACTGATCGCTTCTTCCAGTTGTTTCCTCTTTTTCTTGTTAAGGAATCTTCCTTGGCCAAAGCCAGGACAAAACTAAGATATCCAGGAGATCTTCATAATCCTCCAGCTGGCCTGTTGACTCCCTTAGGGATTATGGGGATTATATAGGGGGGTTATATAGGGACTATAGAGTGTGTGTACATATATATATATGCAAAAAATATATATAGGTGCTACGTAGGAATTATAAGGTATATGTAGGGGTTATATAGGGATTATAGTGAATATGTTAGGGGTTATATAGGTATAATGGAAAAGAACATGGAAACTACTACAATGGGGCTCCCTTCAAACCTGAACCCTAAACCCTACTGTGATGAATAAAACCCCCTCCTTCTAAGGGCCTTAACATTAAGATCCCTATTATAATCCCTATCAGGGGGAGGGGGTTTATGAATCAGGGGTCTACATTTAGGAACTTAAATTAAGTTACTATAATGGGTATATATAGTAAATAATAGGGTTTCCCCAATATAGTAACTTAATTTAAGTTTTAAAGGCCCAAAAGCTGTGGCCTCCCTGGGTTGAGTACTTATCATTGGTTAAGGCTTTGGTGAAGGAGAAGGGATCATTGCTCTGAAGCATGGACAAAGTACTACGAGAACACGTAGCTGAATGCTTTCTCAAGTTGGTCCTTGAAGAGTTGAAGACTGGGTAGTTCGCGAATTAAACACCCCTGAATTTTAGGTGTAGTAGTGCAATCCATGACCAACAGGGGCCCATAATTTTGAGAACAACTCGACTGGCCACAGCTTAGCAGACGATATGGCTCGTTACGCTGAGTCTCATTTGAGCCCCCGAAAATGCCTGGGCCAGCATTTTCTGGGTGGAAAGTAGCGTGACACACTCATGTAATTATAAGGCCAAGCAGCAGGGACTGTAGGTTGTGGTCGGGTTCAAACTCTAGCTTTTTTTGCTGCAATAATATTGCAGATCTAGACCCTATAAGCACCAAAGAAATATTGGGATAATATTGGGCTGTATAGGGATCATGGAAAACAAAATGGTACAACGGAAGCTACTATAGTATGATAGGGTTTATATTGGGGGTATTCAAACCTGTAAATCCTATAGTCCGCCTTAAGTGGAAAGAATATGGGGTGTATGGGGATCTTATTATAGTATACGCAGCGCCATATTCTATCTACTTAAGGGGGACTATAATCCTCAAATTCAAGCCTAGTAGTTTCCATTTTCTTTTCCATTATCCCAATATAACCCCTTTAAAATATAGTAGTTTCCATTTTCTTTTCCATCATCTCAATATAACCCTAGATCCTAGCCCTCTGAGCTCCTAAACCCTTAACCCTTAAAAATAACAGTTTCCATTTTCTTTTCCATTATCCCACTATAATCCCTCTATAACCCCCATACTATAATCCTCTAAGCCCCTATAAACCCTAGACCCCGAGTAGATGTCACAGTCCTCGGCCGAGATGCTGGCGCCGAAGAGGGCGACTGACTAGCCGCACAGCGAGAGGGCAAACAAGCTGCGACTTGGACCGTCGCAGCCTTTTGATATATATATATATGTATACTATAGTCTAAACTCCTTAAAGGGGGGGTTATACAGGGGATTATATAGGGAACTACTATAGGGGCTCTTCAGGTGATTCTAGGAAACTTAGACTATACCTCATATGGGCCTAGAAAGTTTGAGGATGGAGTAGTAGATGGTATATAGCAGTTCAAGGGATAACAAGAAGTAGTACACAAAGGAAACTGCTGAAGCGGCAATGTTGGGGATGTTATGTTCAATGTAATGCCGGGATTGTCAGGATTCTGGGGGTGTCCATGCTGCGCCCAAACTTTGTCTGTAGCATTTATCGTGGCTACAGCATACGGAAGGCTGGGCTAGTGTATACCCAACCCTAGCATGCTGGACTACAGCCATGCCCATCCCATAAAGTACTTAGGGTAACGCAGGACTCTCACCAGCTGTAGTACCACCACGCAGGCCACTCAGAAAGATAACCACCGGAACCATAGAGCGCCAGCCAGCTGCACAAAACCTGAAGCTCCAAGTGGCTGTAAGCTGCCAGGTGCCCGTAGGGTGTCAGCTCCCAATCTGGGAAACCCATCTCTGGCTGCTTGGGCTTCCACACATACTTTGGGGTGTGACCTCTTGAAGGTTTCAGTGGCTTGCCTCTTTGCAGTCGGTACAGCAACGGGCAAAGGTCATCTGGGCCCTCCATGCCCTCTTCCATGAGTTCCTTGGCTTCCCTGCGCCAGCCCCTCCACTGGCTCGAACCATGCCGGACAGCCCACAACACCATTTCAGCAAGAAAGTCCTCAGAGTAGGAGGCTCCCATCAAATCCAGAACTGCAGGTAGAGAGGCCTCCTGCAGGGAGCTGCACACAGCAGCGATCTCTTCATGTGCTTTTGGGAGGCGGCCCTGGTTCCTGTCGAAGGCTGCCATCACCGTTTGGAGAGAAGCTCCCTGGGGCCGACCCACTCTGCACAAATAGGTGGCTATGAAGCACAGGACCTTGCACGCATCCGGTGCAAAGTTCTCCCACTGTGCAAGGACACCTGATGCAGTCCGATCCAAGCTGGCGCTGTCAAAGTAAAAGCCCTTGCACTCCTGACGCCAGACATGCCTTCGCAAAGCTTCCGGAATGATGGTAGTCTTCAGCTCCTCCCACTCCAGGTCATCAACTATCAGCAAGCAGTGGAGAAGGTCTCCCAAGCTGTGGGTGGCTTGGCGAAGGCGCGATTCCGGATGATGCAGAAATAGGCGCAAGCGATGGCTGGCCGCCATCTGCAGCTCAGGCCACTCACAAGCTAGTTGCAGGAGCAACCTGTGTGCATCTCCATACATCTGGACAGCACGCTCAGTGACTCTGCTATGCCCCAGGCTGAGAGATACAGCTGCCTGCGTCAGCAGTGAACAGCAGACTGAAAGAGCGGTTTCTGGAAAGGCTTCATCACGGTGCGCACCAGACAAGGTCATGACGGCCGACTCCACATACTCCCTGGCGCGGGCCCAGTGCTTCGAATCGACGTAGAGAGGAAGCCAGGCATTGAGCTGGCCACGAGAAGACGAGACTAAGGCAGGCTCCCGACCTCGATCTTTCATGGCTTCTAGCCCCGCATTGAAGGCTGCCACATCCACGTAGTCCAGGCTGAAAGACATGTCGTGCGGGAGGCCGTAACGGACTTGGCGGCGCGTCCGGCGGTGGGCGAACAAGCCCAAGCCAAGTACAGAGTCGGCCTCGCGAGCCGATGCGAGGGAAATGTAGCAGCAAAAGGCATCTGACTCCCCGTCGCTCCAATCAGAGTCTTCCGAAAGAGCATCCTGATCACTGGATGAGGACGACACAGCCGTGATGATTGAAGGATGGAAGGTGGCAGTATCCTTTCTGCCATTCCTGCGCCCATGGAAATGGCGGAAGCGTTGCATGGCTTGGTCTCTTAGTTTTAGCCTTGCTTCTGTCAGAACCCCCTGAGACACATCGTTTGCATAATGCAAAGGATGATGGAATTATACGTTCCGCATCCTCTGGTTGTTGCATGCCATGTTTTGCTATCTAATACATATGTACTGAAGAACTTCATGATTTGTTGGTCCTGCTACCTGGGTACGGCGCGAACCATGCATTTTGTCTCGATTCCTCCCTGCACTGTCTCGTCATGCATCGCAATACAGTCCACCCCTATACACCTCCAAAATGACAATATGCAAATTTGATATAGGCATAGAGCGCCTACACAAGTTTTGGAAACACACCCAGAAAAGACAGGCTCTGTCAGCAGTTTTTTTGTGCAGCGCGGACCTACCAGCAGGCAGCCACACTTTCACGCGTCGAATCAAGTTGCGAGGTCCTTGCTGCGAGGTTTTCTGCATCTGATATGTTGTAGAGCCTGATTGTTTAGGCGGTCACCCACGCATGCAGCTCCCTCTCTCCAAGAACTCACATTGAGGTCCAACCTTTCTTCACAGCCGCAAGGAACACGAGTGCTGTTTTTCAGACTCCTTTGTCCATCTCTCCTTTGTACAAACCCTAGCATTTTCGCCGAGGCTGGTTGGACATAGGGTTTTCTGCCAGATGATGGGCTAGTGCTTTGAGCCCTGTGAAAGACATGATGGATATGCTTGGGCATCTGTAGCATCTGCCCCGGAAGCTCTACACGCAGCTTAGAACTTTGGAGCCCTTGCCCTCACTTGAGCACACCACTCCGAGAAAGCATCCTTGCCCATTGCTGAGGCATTCGAAGGGACCGGCCAGGATTCAATACCTTGGAGGTCATCCAAACAGCACAGGGAGGCCGTTAACCCCTGGGTCCAAAACCAAAGTCAGTGCTACTTGCAAGGTCCTTGGCACTCAGCGAATAGATTAATGTCCAGGATGACTGGGACTAATGTAATGGCTTATATTATAGGGGTTGCACGTAGGCTTACTAAGACCTACGCTAAATACCCTGATTTCTTTGGACTAGGATTTGGTTGCATCTGCCAGAAGAGGCTGAGATGGAGTCATGGTGAGGCCCAATCCAAGCAGCGCCCGAAAGGATCCCTCAAGTACCCCTATTCAAAAAGTACGATAGGTTTCTATTTCGAGGACTCCAGAATGTGGGTTGCTTTCAAATGAGCTTGGCAAAGCCCAGAAGTCTTACGAACTTACAAGAAGCATGGCAAAGTGCAATTTTACTCGACTTCTCTGAACACGGGTGGGTGGGTGGGTGAAAGTAAAGGGTAGCAGTATTCTCCATAGAAACCAGCGACTCTTATCCGAGCATGACTTGAGCTTTTTCCCACCTAGGTCTACATATTGACAACACCCACTCCCGCAGACACACTAGGACTACCATGCTCACCCCCTCCCCAACATGCACACCCCCAAAACGACTAAGACCTAGCAAGCCCTCACAAGCCTGGAAGTCCTTAGTTTGACGGAGCTCATGTGGCTCAAGGTAGTTCCAAGAAGATAGGCCTTACTTAGGGTTCAGACCGCCCAAATCCCGGAAATTGGACCCTCTGATACACTCTAGGGTCTACCGGCCGCACTTACGCTCTTGACTATGTGTCAAAAACGCAGCGCAGTGCAATCTCCAAGATTCTTCTGTCATGTTGCTACCCCAAACGATAACTTGCGGTTCTGCGTCATACTTCAACCCCAGGTTTGAGTCACGTGTCGAAACTCTGTGTTGAACCATGTGTTAAAACCATGGCCGCACACTGGCGCATCCGAAATTCGAATATCAGATGCAAAGTTTGAGGTGCCAAAACCAAGCAAAACCACCTGTACTTGCACCGGAGCCTGCTTCTGTCAAGTACGCGTGATTAACCCAAACACGGCGGCGGCACGCTCGCGCATCTGAAAGTGGAGCTTGTAAGATTCTTCTGTCATGTGCGTAACTTCCCCCACCCCACCCACCTACCCATCCAAACCCAAACAAAAACTCGCGGTTTTGCGCCATAAGTTCAACTCCTGGTTTTGAGTCATGTCTTGGAACCTGGTTTCGAGTTCTGTGTCAAACCCACAGTGGCGGCATGCGCATCTGAAATTCGAATTTCACATGCGTTGTTGAGTCTCGCCAAGACAAGCCAAATCACTATATTTACAAGGGATCCTGCTCGTAAAGTACGCGTGGTAGGCCCTTAATAAGATGGGTGGGTTAGCAAGCCTTGAGGTTCTTTTCTTCTTGGGGGGTTCTCATACAGCAATGAGGGCCATAATATGCCGCAAGTAAAGGTCTCGGCACTTTATGGAGAAGACTCCCATGTTGGGAAGGAAAAGACTGATTGGGGGATTCATGCCTTGGATCGTTGACAGCGTCTGGGCAAACAACCGCGCAAATCGAAATTTCCAAAGATCTCGGTTTTCTGTAACTTTAGATTCCACCAAGGCCCCAGAACCCTAAACCCTAAACCCACTCCAATAGTTCAAGCACCCAACAACAACTGAATACTACGGGTTTGCGAAAGCGCGACAGCAGCATTTGTCTAGGTGAGCTCCCCCATGGTTGCTGGGAGCTTGGATGCTTATGGAACTTGAGTTAAGCCACCATGATGTAGTCTTATACCATACAACCTGGCTTTTTAATAATGCTAGCTCAATGATAGCTGATACTTCTTCAACCGCAGCCCACCCATTTGCAAAAGCCTGCGTAGTAGCTTGTGACCAGCAAAAACAAGTTAAGCTTTCCCCTTTGACGCATCACCTTGCATAAAGCATCATTATCTCCACGCGCTATAGCCAACACAGCAAGAGAATACATGGAGTCATGAGGGCGTGTTGAATTCTATGGGTAAATGAGAGGCACGAGAGGCTACAGTTGCAATCACACTGTGAAATTCCTTCAATGGCTATCAATGTCCAACGCAAAGTCAGGCCCCCGCCGCGTCTTTTTGATATAGCATACCATATTTAAAACACAAACTGCTAGCATGTTGGGCGCCATTAATGGGTCGGGCCTAACTTAACTTGAGTTCTGAACCCTGCCTTCTATGCCCAGTGAAGAGCTGATGATGCTTGGATAATACTATTGCAGGCCGTCTTGCTTCAATGGTCTGCTTTTGGCTCTGCACTACGGCATCGTGTAGTCCGGAAAGCACTTCTACACCGAAAACGATCCCGAAAGCTTCAAGAAAGGTACATCCAAAACCTGAAGCTTGACTACAAGCATCCCGGAATTTCTTAATATCACTATACCCCTAAACCCTAACCCCGAAACTCACCACAGTAGATGACACAGAGTATGTGGCATTCTCAAACTCACGCTCCGCCTTGAGAAGTGCATACTGAAGGGACTTTACTGGGAACCCCAAACAGGGAACCCCAAGAATATAGTGGGAATATAATAGGAATATACCTACCAGGGTCCTTATATTCCTACTATATTCTTGGGGTTCCCTGTTTGGGGTTCCCATTTCAAACCTTTTACATACAGGGTGCAGTAGCTGTGGCCACCTTTGTCCGCTCGCACTGTATCCTCAGATTGCCAAATGAGTAGTGTTTTTTTGGTGATTAAACCCAGTAAGATAATATTCCTGATATGAAATACTATACCCAAAAGGAGGATTTAATCTTAAAATGGGTACCATAGTATCTCCAAATAAAATACTATTCAAAGGATCTCCCATGTCATGGGGAATTGTTCCAGATAGGTGGGGGTAGGCCGAAGGGAGAACATGGGATCATGGGTTCGTATGCTGGATTTATTTGAAAATGACTTCGAGAAACTGCCTTGGCGTTTACATCTTACGTTCACGGTTTGGGGCTTGGGCTTAGAGTCCGGGTTTTAAGGTTGGGGCTTAGATCATGTGAGCTCAAAGTGATATTGGAACTTTAGAAGGGCGTCTGGCCTTTTTTGGCAAGAGAATGTATGGCTCACGGAAAACATGTCTTGCAATGATAAATGGCCCACCCAAAAACCCTGCTTGTTGGACCGCCTTGACGCACAGAGGTTAAGTTGTCCAAACCTGAAACTAGACGCCCCGAGACTGTAGGCCCAAACCCCGAAGCCCTTGAAGCCGAGTCATGGATATGGCAACCTCAAACTCAAGATTCACGGCGTGCAGATCGAAAAGCAACAACCCAAAGCTGCAGCTTTGAACGTAGGGAAGTCTAGGTTTAGGGCCTACCTACACCCCAAAAGTATGTAAAAACAATAGCCCTAAACCCCTAATAATAGCCATAAAGGCCATTATTTTACATACTTTTGGGGTCCAGGTAAAGCTTTCGGGTTTAGGGCTCGACGGCCCGACGTTACAAGCAAGAACGTGCAAAGAATAATCTTGAAATTCATGTCTGCCAGCACTGAAATCACTCTGCCTCATTGACAGCAGACCTGGACATGGCACTTCCTTCAGGCTTTCTACTTCCTGTTAATTTCAGGTTTTATATGCTAGATAACATATTCAATTGAGACAGGTGGCTTGGTCAAACAGGCCCCAGAGGTGCTTCTTTCAAGTCACTATACATATATATATATACACATGTGTATATATATATATATGTATGGGTGGTTGTCAAAATTATGGTCCCTTTTTGGGTACCCTAAATATTAGGGGCCGTATTATAATAGGGATCCAAAAAGGGACCATGATTTTGACAACCACCCATATATATAAACTCCTATGGCATCTAAGAAAACAGCATACCCAAAAACCTGTAAACCCCTGATTGTTTTCCAAGCAGCTGCTCTTGGCATGTAGCTTTCGTCACTGCACGAGGATGTCTTCCTAAAGCCACTGAAGGGGCTAGAAGGGGGGGGTCGGGGTGTTTGGATTTAGGATCAGTGTAAGAGGGCTGGGAAGAGGGTTTGCAGGAGAGTTTCGGGGAGAGTTGGGGTCTAGGGCGAAGAAACTGAGCAGAAAAGCCAACCATCAGTCCCCGAAATTTCAAACCAATGCCTCTCAATTCCTAAATTTGATCTTGATCACTGGCTATCTCATAG